AAAAAAAAAAAAAGGAGAAAAAGAAGGCGAGAGGGAGGAAGCCGGGAGGGCGCGAGGGGGAGGGCCAAGGGGAGCGGAGGCAGATCCCGGTGTCTCCTCGGATGGGAAGGGAAGAAGGGGCTCTGCCTGCGGGGCGGGGAGGCGCATCGCCCCGGCAGCGGCTTCCTCTGGGCGCCGGGCGCTGGGCCGGGGTGATCCGCACAGGGACGGGGCGGGAGAGGCTGGAGGGCCGCGGTGGCGAGGCGGGGACAGCTGGGGAGGCGGGGGGGTTCCGTCCCAAGGGAAAGGCGGCGGAGCTCGCACCGTTCGCAGCGCTCCACCTGTGCGGGAGGAGGGACCGGGTGGCGGTGGCAGCGGCAGCGGGGCGGACAGCTCGCCCTGGCCCGCCGGAGGGCTCCTGGGGAAGGCGAGGGGCGGAGAGTGGCGTTCCCACGAACAGTGCCCTGTCCGCTCCTCCCTGCCTTCGCCCCTGTCTCCCAGCCCCACTCCTCTGGAGTGCTCCTCTCCTCAGGGATMCTCCCTGTCCTCCTTCTCTGGACCATCCCTGAAGAGTGAGAAGCACTTTCCTCACTTCCTCATCACTCTTCCTTCCTCTTTGCCTTCCTTCTTTCCCKCGGTGTCCCTGTGGTCTCACCTCCCAAGGCAGAAGGCTTTGTGTGGTGGTCTCTCCTCGCTGGATCACCCCCTTGCACCACAACAGATCCTCCCCGAAGCTTTCCACGGCCATACAGACACATAAGGTGAAAAGCACCGTCACTAAGCGTTTCCATTGAGCACCTCCGCTGAAAACTCATTTAACGCTAAATGAAGGCCCATTGATTTGCCAGAACCAGCAGGAAGGAAATTTGTGGCGTTGCTGGATATCAGAGTGAGATTTCCAGAGTGCTGTTTCGGTGTTTTAATCATAGGCATATCCTTCCTTTAAAAGTCTTAACTTTTGAAATTTAGTGGAACCAATTATGTAAACAAGTTGGAAATAATGCTCTGACCAGCAAACTGCAGCCTGCAGTTTCATTTTGAAGACTAAGGTCTATTTCCTCAAAATGTAAATTTCGTTTGCAGTTCTGGTTTTGTCTGCACAATTTAAAACCAAAGCAAAATACTAATAATACAATAATAATGTGCCTGAGAAAAYAAGCTGAAGAATTCCCAATGTAATTAACCAGGCAGCAAAGGAATGAGGGTAAATTAATTAAGTTTTACAAGCAATTTCTTGGACAAAAGAACTTCCACACTGGGTGAGAGCAAGGGCCTTGCTAGACCAATACCATGTTGCATTACTAAAGATAATAGACCCCTCCAGCACTTTCACTGCCACCAATATTTCAAACTCAGAGGTTTTCTGAGGTAAGTGTAATTTCTATGACCTTAGTAAYCTTCACTGGATTTCTCTGTCAGGCACTTGCCTGTCTTTCCTTTAACCTACATAGATCTGTAGCATCTACCACTTGCTCTGGTAACAAGCTCCTCAAGTGAAACACATGTTGTGCAAAAACTTGCCTCTTTTAGTATCTTTTCAACCTGGCTACCGCTAGATTCATTTGATGCTCACTAGTTCKTTGTMATACGCTCTGTAACTCCTCTCCCAYGCTGAAAAGTTCTATTTAAATTAGCTGTGCTTCGTATCAAAAAGGTTCTTGTTTTCCACCCTATTGCTGATGYTCAGGGACCAGAAAAGCATCTGAAGGAAGGAGCAGCCAAACGCTTCTTGGCAGCGGCAAGCAGAAAATGAGGAGCAACAGCTACTTGCATGGGCAGCTGTGTTGAGCAACAACTGCAGCTAGGAAGGTTCAAACTGGACATGGGGAAAAAATTTCTTCACCAAAAGGAACATGCAACACTGGAACAAATTACCCAGACAGGTTGTGGAGTCACCATCCTTGCTGGTTTCCAACACTCAGATAAACAAAGCTACAGCTGATCGGATCTAGTGCTGGCRGTAGTCCTGCTTCAAGGGAAAGGTTGGGCCGGGTGACCTGCAGAGGTCCCTCTCAACCAATATTTCTGATTCTTTACCTATACAGAAGATGCACGCAAAATATGGATTCTTGTGGCAGCAAAAAAGGTTTTATTTTTTGTTGTTCTTGGCTGATTTCTTAATACTTACTAGTACTTTTAATATTTTTTTTTCATCTGGTGGTTTCCAGGCTGATGTTCCCATGGGACCATTCTCATGACTCCAGGACTCTCTTTCCTGAGAAGTAATGACCCGATGAGAACCTGCCATTTCATACCTGAAGTAAGGACCCTTTTCCTCCTGTGCAACGCTTTGTATTTTTCTACACTGAACTCAGCACTGCCTTTTTATTGCTCGGTCACTCCCATAAACTTTTCTGCAGATAATCAAGGTTGTCTCGTCTTTATTAAGCTAAATAATTTAATAGCCTCATCTGGTTCTGAGACCTGACTACTCATCTCTTTTCCAGAACATTTATGAACACACTAAATAGTGCAGTACAAAGCAGGTTCTTATTGATAACCTATCATCCCTAGAAAAACTAATCCCCTTGTCCTATACTTACTTTCCCGTTTTTCAGAAAATAGGGATGGCACAGGTTGATTTCTGTTTATTGAGCTCTGGGTGATGTGATCAGTTTGCTTTTGACCCATCAGTCCACTCACTCCTGATTTTGGAATCTAAATTTCAGACTTCAATTATTTTAAACCTTTTTTCTTCAATTCTGTGCCACAGTTTAATCAACAGCCAGCAACTAAGCCACTCACGGCTGTTCACTCACTCTCCCCACTGCAGTGGATAGGATAGGATAGGATAGGGATAGGAAAGAGAATCAGAAAAAGTTAAATAAGAAATAAGAACAGTTTAATAATTGAAATAAAGTGGGACACTATAGTAAAAATAACCATAATAATATTCATACTAGGAAAAATGGAGGTAACCAAGAGAAAAAAAAAAAAAGGAGGAATAAACTTCCAGAAAGACAAATGATGCACAATACAGTTGCTCACCACCCACTGACTAAAGCATAGCCCACCCCTGAGCAGTGATCTCCTGGCCAACTCMCCCAGTTTATACACTGGGCATGACTTTCTATAGTGTGGAATATCCCTTTGGACAGTTCAGGTCAGCTKTCCTGGCCYTGCTCCCTCCCAGCTTCTTGTGCCCCTCCTCACTGGCAGAGCTCAAGACACTGAAAAGTCCTTGACTCAGTGAGCACTACTGAGCCACRACCAAAACATCAGTGTCTTATCAGTATTATTCTCAAACTGAATCCAAAACACAGCACTGAACCAGCTACTAAGAAGAAAATTAACTCTATCCCAGCCAAAATCAGGACGYCCGTTTCATTACTAATATTTTATTTCTTGTAATAATAAGATGACACAGTATGGATAATTCTTCATAAATAAGGAGAGATTTTAAAAAAATAATTATCACATTAAAAATTTCCTCAAAATATCATTTGTAGAAGACATAGGGAATGTATATTTCAGACTAYTGATTCTTTAAAAATACACTGTATAATATACATGGTAGGGCTGTAAAAATATAATTGTTGGAAAAATTCCAGCATGCTAATTTTATCCTTCAGAAGTAATTTTATCTCATTAGAAGATTAGTGAGCCCTTTCGGTATTTTTGCGTGTTCCAAAAATAAGTTCGAGATCATACACGAAGAGATGTTCCCTTGGAACTCAGCTTTGAAAGACTGATACCTAAAATTACAAAAACTCAAAATTCAGAGGAAAAAATAAACCAAATCTGCAGTAACATCAAGAATGCACTAGCTTCTATAAAAAATTATTCCTACATATCTACAAAGAATAAAAAGAAAAAGCCCCAGTTTTTTTACCATTTTACCAGATTTGATCCCTGGGTTTGAGTGGATTCACAGAACTGTTGTATTCTTAGCTTGGAGTAAATAATCCACAAAATGAGTTACAAAATGTTTCCAAAAAAGATTCTCCTAGATTTTTTTTTTCAGGTAGAAATTTGAGATAGGATCTCCAACTTTCTCTGTGGCAAGCATTCACTGAGAGTGGATGCAGTGGCTGGGCAGCTGCTCCTGGAATGTTGTTTGGCCCAACAATGCTGGATGAACATGTGGGTCTTGCACACATGCAAAAGATGTTTGATCACAGCAACAGCATGCCTTGTCTGCAGCCTCTGAATTGTACTCCTTGTAGTGCACCTACCCACAAAACATTCTTTCAAGTTTGGCTTAAGGGAAAACAGGCAGGTGTAACTCAGAAAAACTGAATGTCAAAAAGAATGCAAATCCCTATTAGCAACTTAAAAGGTAAATGCATAGTCCTTAGCCATACTCCACAAGAAGTCAGTTTTAATTTCTTCCTTTCTTCTCTTCAATCCTTCTTCTGCTTATGTATAGGTGCACACATGTACTTTATTCCATAACTAATGATTACTCTGATAGTGCAGGTAAATACCTTTTCTTCACAYCTTAATTCTCAGGCTGAAGTTTGAGTAATTCTGAGTACTCTTCTAGCTCAGCTGATATTTGTTTCACTTCTTTTCTACTTTTCTTTCCCCAGGAAGACTATTTTTGTTGAGTTTTAACACTTTTCCAGTCCCCAAACT